ACAAAGTCTCCTGTAATAAACCGGGAATGCAAAGAGGCCCAGAGCATCCACACAACTGTACACTAGGCAACAAAGCTCAAAACACATGCAGCGGAAACCCAAATGCCTCTTGAAAGATAGAACCATTTCAAAACCCCAGGGTACTCTTATACTCCAGTTAGCTATCATTTCTCCCTTCTAATTAGCCTTTTTAAGTACAGAGTTAGAGACTCATTTCTATAGAACTCCTCCCTCCCTCCCCAGACTCTGGCCCTACACACTTGAGGTCTTATCTCCTGCGCTGCCTGTATTCTTATTCCTCCTTCATTTCCCACCTGGCTGAAAACTTCGAGGAAAAAAAAAAAAAAACCTGGCTGATAGGCAAAGGCTCTAGGTCACAAGATGTTATCAGAGAGTTGCCTGGGAAAGAATAAGAAGCAGGTTACTCTGCCTTACTGCCCTGGTGCCAAAAACGTGATTTTCCTCTTTCCACTCAATCATAAAATAACCCAAAGTCATGATTCATCTGATTTAAATGTAGTCTGTTTCCTAGAGAGAACTGAAACATTTGGCTGAGTTATGTCTAAATGGGAAAAACAAGTACCTGTGAACAGATTAGCAATGTGCAGACAAAGAAGTTCACAAAAACATTAAACCAAATATGCAATGTCCTAAACTCTTTGTTCTTTCACACCTATTGACCTGAAAAGTTGCTCATGATTCATTGTTTGGGTAGAAAAACGTGCCAAAACAGCGTGTATAATACAGTCTTGTTTCTATAAAAAAGAAAGTTCCACATATATGTACTCACACACACTCTAGTGGTTACTGGTAAGTAGTGAGATGATAGGTAATTGTATCTTTCCTGTTTATTATCTGTATTTTCTACAGCTTAACATCACCTCTGTAACAAGAAAAGCCAGCACTACTTAGTCTTTCTAAACAGTCACTCATCTTTAGGCCTGAGGACTGCAGTGGGCTCGTGTCTAGTGACTCACCTCCAAGTTCACTCACATTCTGATTTTATTTCAACCACAAACAGCACAAACTTCTCAAGGAAGGAAAGCAGAAAAGGCAAAAGAAGAGATAAAACGTTTAAGAACTTGGGAGCAGGGACAAGGACTCTTCTTAGTCCCAGATGACATATCTACACAGAAAACCCAAAGATTCCACATTTATCCTACAAGAATTAATAAAAGTTTAGCAAGGTTGCTGGATTTTTGTTAAAAAAACAGTATCTTTTAAAAATAACTGCAATAAACAAAAAGTTTAAAGATAATATTTTTTTAAGAGACGTCAGAGACAAAGTCATGAATCATGAGGTGGCGGCTTTCAGAGAAATCTGCTTTTGACACCGTCCCCAGAATGACAGCAGAGAGAACCTGGCAGCCCCAGAAGCAGAAACCCAGGCATGGAGATTGATCGGTGGGGCAAAGGGGTTCTTTAAGGCTGATGGTCTGGAGCGGAAAACTAATACAGAGGGATCTGCAGGGTCCGGAGTTTCTGCCTAGAATAGGGGCAGAGGAGACACCACTAAGGTGCTTCAGGAAGCTAACACTATTCCTGTATTGAAAACCACCAAGTGTTAGCCAGGTGCCATGGCTCACACCTGTAATCCCAGCACTTTGGGAGGCCAAGGCAGGTGGATCACGAGGTCAAGAGATTGAGACCATCTTGGCCAACATGGTGAAATCCCATCACCACTAAAAATACAGAAAGTTAGCTGGACATGGTGGCACATGCCTGTAGTCGCAGCTACTCAGGAGGCTGAGGCAGGAGAATTGCTTGAACCTGGGAGGTGGAGGTTGCGGTGAGCCGAGATCGTGCCACTGCACTCTGGCCTGGGCGACAGAGAAAGATTCCATCTCAAAAAAAAAAAAAAAAACCACCAAGTGTTGACGGGTCCCGCACTATTGCTGTGTCAGATAGAGATGGAATGCACATCATTAAAGTGGCCAACGAAAATGACCCAGAGCATGCCTGCAGACCAGGGGTCTCACTTACTTTTGCCCTTGCAACACGCCAGCCAGCAAGCCAACCTGGACTTTCAAAACACAAGCTTGGACTTGTCTGTTAACTTTAATACCCACCAGGTGGTTTACCTTTAGTAGTTTACCTTTAGTAGTTAGTCTGTTTCACAGCCAGCAGCAGTGCCAATATGGCACTCATTGTTATCCTAGAAAAGGGAACTCGCTCCATTGTCTGAAGAACAGAGACAAGCTGTGGAAGTTTCTTAATCTGACACTGGTTTCAATGTGTGCCTTATCTTCATCATACCAGACACAACATCAGTCCAGCAACCAGGCCACAATAATACGGATGTCTATGCCCTCAGGGAAAGGCCCCTTTTCCCACCTTCTAGGAAACAGTCTATAAAGAGAATTTCTGAGCAGATTGATGGTTATATTTTTCTTTGTTTAGGGTCTTCTCTTATTTAGTGGGATGTGGAGATACCACAAAAATCGTTCCGTCTATCATTGTTCCCATGGAGTTAGCTCAGTCACCAAAGATTGATGAGATGCTATTCAGTGGCTCAGAATCAAAACACTACATTGATCCACTTGAACCATTAAATGCTCCCTGTTGTACAATATTCCCAGCCCTGCAGGAGGAAGTGGACTCTTGACTGTGAATAGTGATGAGGACATGGTTTTCTTCACATTATATTTTACTTCTTTGTATTGAGTGTGAGACAGATAAAATGGCTTAGTGATAAAATCAATAGAGTCACTAACTTTCCTATGTACACAGTCATCCCTTGTTATCCTCAGAGAATTGGTTCCAAGACCTCCTGCAAAGACCAAAATCCACAGATGCTCAAGTCTTTTATATAAAATGGTATAGTATTTGCATGTATTCTATGCACATTCTTTAGTATACTTTAAATCATCTCTAGATTATTCCTAATACCTAATACAATGTAAACACGAGGTAAATAGTTGTTATACTATATTGTTTTTTGGATTTGCATTATTTTCACTGTTGTATTGTTTTTTTCCCAAAATTTTCTTTTTTTTTTTTTTTTTTTTTTTTTTTTAAGACAGGGCCTTGCTCTGTTGCCCAGGCTGGAGTGCAGTGGCATGCTCACAGCTCACTGCAGCCTTGACCTCCCAGGCTCCAGTGATCCTCCCACCTCAGTCTCCCAAGTAGCTGGGACTACAGGCATGCACCACCATGCCTGGCTAATTTTTGCATTATTTTTTTGTGTAGAGGTGGGGTTTCACCATGTGGTCCAGGCTGGTCTCAAACTCCAGAGCTCAAGAGATCTGCACTCCTCGGCCTCTCAAAGTACTGAGACTACAAGCATGAGCCACCATGCCCGAATATTTTCAATTTGTGGTTGGTTGAGCCTGCAGATGTGGAACCCTCAGGTACAGAGGGCTAACTGTGCATTATTTTGTGGTATGGATAAATATTACCAATTGATTTGATTATTTTCAAAGGGTGCTGCCCTTTACCTAAAATGCAAATTACAGCTAAGGGGATTTTTCTCCCATTCTGCTATCCATAACCCATCCGTTTTAATGCTCTCAAGTTCTTCATAAGATTTAGGTGTGATTCACTAACAAACTCAGCTTCCAAAACCAGTATGTATGTAAACGTGATAATACAGTCTTTTTTCCAGATATGAGTATAAATAAAATAGTACTTTAAAGTAAAAAATTTACATATCAAAATGTAAAACATCTGTGAGAATATATCTAATAAAAATGTATAAAACATTTATACGTAAATTTTTGAAAGTACTGAAAAACATTTTTTTAAATACCTAATAAATGGAAAATCCATTCTCTATTCATGGATTGGAAAAGTCAAAGTGCTGATTCTCCCTAAATTGATCTACAGGCAATGCAGTTCCAATCAAAATCCCAAACACTTGTCTTGTTGAATCTGACAACTGATTTATGCAGAAGGGCCAAGGACCGCCAAGGCTGTGCTGAGGAACACAGGTGTGGAAGGCTCGTCTTCCCAGACATGCAGAAGCCACAGAATGTGGGGAGCCCAGACAGGGACAGGCCTGCATTTCTATTCCACTTTTACTACTAATTGGGACTTTGGTGAAGCAATGCCCCTTCTCTGGATCTTCGAGCCCTCATCTCAAAACTATGCTCATCCTCACCTCTTCCATTAAGAAGCTCACATATTCAAAGTACACCTCAAAATGATCTGAAAACCCACACACTACAATCCTAAAGTCACAAAGTCACCTGGCTTTGGAGCTCATCGGTAAACTCCATCCAAGCAGGAATGCCACCTACCCAGTCACCCACATCCTCAGCTATTGACATAAGTGAGGCTGAAAGATAAGTTTCTGTTTGGGTGCCTGGTGTGTGGCACACATGGCTGCTTGGGCCGGACCCCCACAGCCAGTGGACATCTAGCTTGTTGTCTGAAGCACAATCCTCCTTTTCCTTCTTTAAAGGTGACTTCGTGTTCTCATTTGGGAAAAGCAATAAATAAGCAATTCTCTGCTGGGTTTCCAGGTGCAGTGTGTTCTAGGAAGGGATCTGGTAAGGTTTGGCTGTGTCTCCACCCAAATCTCATCTTGAATTGTAGCTCCCACAACTCCCACGTATTGTGGGAGGGACCTGGTAGGTAATTGAATCATGGGGGTGGGTCTTCCCGTGCTGCTCTAGTCCTGACAGTGCATAAGTCTCAAAAGATCTGATGGTTTTATAAGGGGGAATTCCCCTTCACAAGCTCTCTTGCCTGCCATCATCCATGTAAGATGTGACTTTGCTACTCCTTGCCTTCCACCATGATTGTGAGGCCTCTGCAGCCATGTGGAAATGTGAGTTAATTAAACTTCTCCTTATAAATTACCTAGTCCCAGGTATGTCTTTATTAGCAGCACGAAAATGGACTAATACAAGATCAGAGCAGGTCTCTCCATGTGCAGAACACCCCAGGGCCCAACACTTAACCAAAAAACAAGAACACATGGACATCATGCCTGACCTTGAGGTCCCACCAACCCACTGCCCCAAGACCAGGAGGAAGCCTCTGTCTCCACCCTGTACCTGTATTTGATGTCGAATACTGTGGAGTCCTCATCCTCATCATCCTCTTCATTTAGCGGCGCCATTTCCACTCGCTCAGCTGGAGTGGTGATGATATCATACTTGCGGGTCTTCTTTAACCTCTTTCCTGACCTGCAGGAGAAGCAGCACATTCATGAGAACACAGCTGAGAGAGAAAGAGTCATTGGGCCCAAGCCCCAGAGGACCTGACAGCAACTTAGCAGCTGGTGTTAAGTCAGGTTTCCTTCCTCTGTCTGAGAGCATGAGGATCTGACAGAAAGCAAACCATGCTGCTGCCTCCAGCCTGGCTGCTGAGACCACTCCCACAGCGATTCGACCAGTGAACGCCTGCTAACCCACATTACGATCATCGGGACCCTTCCAAGTGAGTGACTGGCTTTGCTCACCTTATAAGCCAGAGTCCCCTGGCCTGAAGCCTAAAAACTCAGTACAGCAATGATGACAAAGAATACACAAATCTCCTCTTCCGTCTCTCTCTCTCTCTCTTCTCTCACTATCATAATATTTATTACTAGTAATAGTATTTAATTTTTTTTTTTTTTTTTTTGAGACGGATCTCACCTCTGTCTCCCAGGCTTGGAGTGCAGTGACGTGATGCTCGGCATCACTGCAGTTCTGCCTCCCTAACGGTTCACACCATTCCTCCTGGCACGTCAGCGATCACGAGTCCCGGCCCTCCACCTGACATTTTTTTCCCCAGTATATTGTTTTTTTTTTTGTATTTTTCATAGAGAAGGAGTTTTGCCGTGTTAGCCAGGATGGTCTCGATCTTATGACCTCATGATCCACCCGCCTCGCCCTCCCAAAGGGCTAGGATTACAGGCGTGAGCCACGGCACCCAGCCACAAACGTAGTATTTTAAGAAGGCAAAATTCATGCTTTTTAAAAAAACCCCAAAGATCAAGATGTCCAATGAGGACCAGGTTTGTCACAGCCTGATGCTTGAGGGTGCTGCCCTATGGGCCAGTCAGGGGAGAGCTGGGTCAGAAACGGGCTGCTCTGTGCTTGTGTGATCAGGGGCAAGTCAGTTCACCTCCCTGAGCTTCCATTCCCTCACAAACCACATTGGATAGGAAAAGTCTTCCTCACAGGTGAGGGAGAACTGCATGAGATGATGCAGTTATGCCTGCACACAGCAGGCTCTTGGCAAAAGTCACTATTAGGGATGATAAAGAGGAGTTAAATATGCTACATCACTACATCGTTTCTCCTAGGTCAAGGGCTTGTGAAAATGAGTCAATTTTGTTTCCATCATGAGGATTCATGAGGAAAATGGTTACAACACTACAGTGTTCTGGTTTTGTTTCCTTGTTTTGTTTTGTGTTTTAAAGACAGGCTCTCGGCTGGGTGTGGTGGCTCACACCTGTAATCCTAGCATTTTGGGAGGCCAAGGCAGGCAGATCACGAGGTCAGGAGATTGAGACCATCCTGGATAATATGGTGAAACCCCGTCTCCACTAAAAACACAAAAATTAGCTGGTCATTGTGGCAAGCGCCTGCAGTCCCAGCTACTCAGGAGACGCGGCAGGAGAATCACTTGAGCCGGGAGGCAGAGGTTGCAGTGAGCTGAGATCGCACCACTGCATTGCAGCCGGCGACAGAATGAGACTCCGTCTCAAAATGAAATAAAATAAAATAAAGACAGGGTCGTATTCTATCACCTAGGCTGGAGTGCAGTGGTGCAATAATAGTTCACTGCAGCCTCAACCTCCCAGACTTCAGTAACCCTTTCACCTCAGCTTCCTGAGAAGCTGGGACTACAGGCACATGCCTCCAAACCTGGCTGGATTTTTTTTTTCTATCTGTAGTAGAAATGAGGTCTTGTTATGTTGCCCAGGCTGGTCTCGAACTCCTGAACTCAAGTGATCCTCCCACCTCAGCCTCTCAGAGTGCTGGGATGACAGGCATGGGCCACCAGGCCAGACCTAACACTATGTTTTTACCTTTAGGATGGTAGAGAGTCACCGTGGGCTGCAGGGAAAGCACTGACACAAGCCACTTCAGCCTCTAGCCTAAGACTCTCTGCACAAAGGCTGCGATATGTATCAGAACATGGCTAGAAGGTCTAGGATACCACTGGGAATAACACTATTAGTGTGATGACTAACGTTCTTTGTGTTTGTTCCTCCACTCTCTTGAACTTTTTCCTAATTGCTTTGTATTCACTGATGTCCCTCCTTTTTCAGAATATTTAATACTGTCTATGAGAAACCAGCCAACCCAGAAAGTCATAAACGGGGCACTGAAGAATCAGGTTCCCTACACATTCTTCTTGCTGACTGTAAGCTATTCCTGAGTGGAGACCACATCAAAGACACACGCGAGATCTCTTTGTCTTCAGCACAGAGAAACTCTCCAGTAAGTTGGCAAAATGAATGAAAACAGAACTTCACTTTCAGGTTTTCTAAAAATTTCTTAGCAACAGCAACTTGGTCTTGTCTTAACTGATATGATCTACCAAAAACATGGTTTACCAAAGTGTCACATCATGTCTTTGGCATAAAGCAACCTACACAACCCATAGCACCCACTTCTCATGTTTCTTTGCATAAAGAAAAGGAGTAGGATTTTGGAAGAGGGGGAAAAATCAGCTGTAAAGTCTGATGACACCCAAGCCTCATCACACAGCATTTTTCCTCTCTGCTTTCATCACAGGTGCATACACACACACACACACACACACACGCGTGCGCGCGCACAGGCATGGGTGTGAATCTACCTGGATTCTGAACACAGGGTAAAGCATGGTGCAAATGCCAAGCCTAGTGGTAAGAGGATAAACCAAAGGGGCATATAGCCAGTCACCTTGCCAGTAGCCTTGGGACAACAGTATTTAGGAAGCAAGCTTTGTGTGGGACTTAAATGCTAACTTTATAAACAGTTGGATTCACATTCTCTCCCCCAAGAGATTCTTCTCTCCACCTCCCTCCAAAGGAGTAAAATAAATCTCTGCATTCTGCCCTGGATGACTTATGATCCCAGACCAATTCCATCTCAACACTGGAAGGGGGAAATTTAAGCCCAGAAGTGGATCCAAATGCCACAAGCAATCCAAGACAAAACCACAAGAAAAACCACCCATCCTCAAACCTCTGAGTCTAGGGTCAAACTCCTGATCTACACGCCTTTCTCGGGAAGACAGCCCTAAATCCCTGTCCGGACAAGTTGTGGCTATCTGGCAGGAAAGCTTGGCTTCTGCAAAGGGGCAAGGCTGGACTGTCCATTTCTGACATGCAGCTGAACAAGCATCTGGAACAGTAGAAAAGGAAATGTCCTGCAAACTCAAGGACATGAGAAAGTCCCCTGTGGACCTTCAAAAGGACACACCCAGATGGCTTCAGGCTGAGGAGTCATAGTCATGTTTGTGACTCTTTTTCAGGCATCGCAAAGCCCAGAAAATGCAAAATGGGATTCGCAAAGCTCATTGCATACTTGGAACTTGGTGCCTCATGTAGTCATTGGCCCTGGGGCAGGACTGATGGCTGACCCTGGGAGAAGGCTCTGGAGGCTCTGACTTCAGCCCTGGCCCTGCCTTGTGGGAGTGAATCCCGGGAACCTACAAAATCACTGTTCCTTCTCTATAATCTTATTGTTCATGTATAGAGTCTTACAATAAGAAAATTAGCCTGCTGAGCTAAAATAAGGCCCTTGAACACCAACCCATGGGAGAAGGAAGAAAACTACACTAGCATCTAGAACACTGTGGCCCATGATGCTTTAATGCCAGCCTCTGCAGCCAAGCAACCCCAGAAAATAAAAAATCCCGAGATTATATACCAAAGGCGTGATGCCTAATGCTCCTATGACAACTTGAGTGGGCCACAGGGTGCCCAGACGTTTGGTCACACTGTCTGCGAGGATGGCCCTAGATGAGATTAACAGTGGAATCAACAGGCTCTGAGTACAGCAGATGGCCCTCCCTAATGTGCGTGGGCCCCATCCACGCAGTTGAAGGCTTGAATAGAATAAAAAAGCAGAGCCTTCCCTCAGGGAGTAGGAGAACTCCTCCTGTCTAACTGCCTTCCAACTCGGACATCAGTTTTTTCCTGCCTTGGGACACAAACTGAAACATCGGCTCTTTGTGACTCTGCAGCTTGTCTGCATTTAGGCTGGACCTTATACCACCAGCCCTCCTGGGTCTCCAGCTTACAGATGGCAGATCCTGGGACCTGTCAGCCTCCATAATCACATCAGTTGATTCCTTACAATAAGCCTCTCTCTCTCTCTCTCTCTCCCCCGTCTCTCTCTCCCTCCTCTCTCTCTCTAGCTATCTCTCCACACACACACGCATACACACACACACCCTATTGATTCTGTTTCCCTGAAGAATCCAAATACAAAAGGCTGTTAGCAAGAGTCCTCATGTATGCTTCAAATGCCAGTTTTGACATAATGAGCTGAAGAAATTACATTTCAAACAAACAACTCTCTGAAACACAACTCTCTTTACAAAAGAAGAGCAATTTCTGCTGTTTCCACTGCTGGGTGTGTTAATAGGGATAAAACTGAGACTTCTGAGAAGTTTAAAGACATTGTGACACGTTCCCAGCTGAGGTGCACCGGCTGTGTTGACAAGGGTCTCTGTGGATGGTGGGCAGGAAACCTCACAGCGTATAAATGGAGTTGGGGGTACAGGGACAGGGCAGTGGGAGTGAGGGTGCGGGAAATCTTCACACCTTTTTTTTTTTGAGACAGAGTCTCACTCTGTAGCACAGGCTGGAGTGCAGTGGCACAATCTTGGCTAACTGCAACCTCCACCTCCGAGGTTCAAGCAATTCTCCCTGCCTCAGCCTCTGGAGCAGCTGGGATTACAGGCACCTGACACTATGCCCAGGTAATTTTGGGATTTTTAGTAGAGATGGGATTTCGCCATGTAGGCCAAACTGGTCTTAAACTCCTGACCTCAGGTGATCTGCTGCCTCAGCCTCCCAAAGTGCTGGGATTACAGGCATGAGCCACCATGCCCAGCACATTTCTCAAAATAAAAGAACTCTTCCTTTACTAACTGTGCACCAGTGAGAAGCCGGGAAATTTAGGAACAGAGCCAATCAGCATTTTCCACATACCTGGAGATCCACAAGCCTGTCTGAACAGTGGGCTCACAGAACAGT